AGATAAAAAATCTTATAGATTTTAAAAGACTATTTAGATTTGGAAGGACTTTAAAGACTTTTTTTACAATCAAGATTTTATAAGATTGGATTTTAAAGTATTTGAATAGAATTTATAAGATTTGAAAGGACAATATGGATTTATAAGATTTTAAAAAATTATATGAATTTTTAACAAACATTCAAAATTACAAGAGTCAATAAAAAAAATAACAAAGAAATGCAATGATATTAATCAAAAAAAGTAAAACCTAATATAATTTTCTCAATCAGTAAAATATAATATAATTTTTAACAAACATTCAAAATTATTAAGCAACATTTCTCCACATATCTAAAACTATACTAGTCCTCCATGCATTAGCATTTTCTCATTTCTGCTCTTGGGTTTAACCAAAGGGTTGAAAATTATCTTCTTTATTTGGTATAAGAAATATGTATATATGATTATAAGACCCAATTTTTTTATTTGTTAAAATAATTCTAAATTTGCATATAGAACCAAAAGTTCATAATAAATTTTCGTTTGAAATTTTTTGCAATTGATCTTGGAAACCTTAGGGTTTTTGTTTTACGTGGAGAGTTTTCTAACCATATATCATATGCATGTTTTCATTGAGTATTCTAAGAAAATTTTGAATCTGAATTTCTAGGTTTTATTACATGAAAGTTTAAAAAATTTCTCAAATTATTTCCAATCGATACATTGAAACCTTGAGGCTTTTGAAAAACAAGATTTTAGTTATCTATTGATACAAAATTTGTTTTAAATCGTTTCCTATAGCGAATGAATTTCGTTCATGAATGTATTGTTACGAAATATAGGGTTTATATTATGAAAGTTTCAATCTTTCTTTAAATCGATCTTGTTTCATTGATGTAAAACAAACATTGGTTTGAGTGTTTTAGTTTCACTGTTTTTTCCACTGTTTTATGTTTTTTTTAATACAAAAATCATACATTTTTGTGCACAGAAAAAACGCGACCCATATCTTGAAAAATCATTTTTTAAACTTTTAAAAGCTCTTAAAAATCTGCTATTCTTTAAATGGATTATATTAGAATCTTGTTGGTTTGTTGTTTTTGGGTTGTTTTATGATGAAAATCGCTCAAAAATCTGTTGCTTTGACGAAGCTCCCACGACGGAACTCAGTTTTGAAAGGGTTAACCCACCAAAGGAAGAATAAGACACTACAATAGAGAAATCTCAAGAAATCCTAGGGTTAATGGTGAGATTTTGAGAGAAGCATCCTATTTATATTTCTCACTAAAAAGTCTCACGAAATCTACACCAATAGAAAATCCATTAAAATCGTTAGATTTTTAAATCAGAAAAATATTTATGCAGTTACTGCAGATAAGTTATCTGCATTTACTCCGAAAATGACGTCATTTTGGGATTGAAAGATTAAAAAATTATAATTATAAAGACTATAATAAACTAAAATAAATTAAAATTACAAATCCACCATGATTCCTGTCTCAAAACGACGTCGTATTGGGCTTACTGCAGAAAAAGTGAACCCTTTTTAAATACCACAATATTGTTTTTTCTTTGTTTAAAATCCTGATTGAATACCAACGGAATTGGACGGATTCTAAAATAATCTTTTAAAATCCTAATCGAATACCACGTGACTTTTTTTTTAATCTTATAAAATCCTAATTGAATACCAATGGGTTTTTTTGTCCAAAAATAATCCATTAAAATTCTTTGAAATCTCAAGCTAATATAGCTCTCGTTCTTGGTAAAACATTCATGTTGTCGTCTTTGATTTAGACCAATGGTAAAGAAGTAGAGAACAACCTTTACCCGTTTGTTTTGCTTAATGTGATGGCAACCTCTTCATTTTCGCAGTATAGATTGATTGAGTACCATCTTCTAACCATGAGTCCACCATCAATTTCTTTCCAATTGTTGGGTATTAGGGGTAGAAATAGGTCAGATGGCATAACATGACCTAGGGGTGTTCATCAACCGATTCAAACTGCGGTGTCCGAACCGAAAATCGAATAAATCGAAAACCGAAAAAATCCACAAATTTTAATTGGATTGGATCGATTTTTGGATTGATTGATGAAAATATATCCAATATGTTAATTTCCCTCTACCTACTTGAACATTTCTCTAATCATAGCTCAAAAATTTCTAAACTCAAGATCCATTAACCCATCAACTAAACCCAAGAAAAAATATAGTCACATCTCATCAACAAAATTTCATATGTGTAGACCTTCATATCTCATTGCCCAAAAAAAAATTATATTATTGTTTACTGATGCTTTTGTATTTCAAAAAAAATAATTTACAAAGTCAATATATACAAAAGATATTATTTGCACGATAACCATGAAACAAATTTGAGGATTTTTAAAAAACCGAAAACCAATCCAATCCAAACCAAAAAAAAATTGGATTGGATCGGATCGGATTTAGAAAAAATCCAAACCGAATTAATGATTACATAATCAAACCAAAGAGATTGGATTGGATGTTTTTTGCTTCCAAAACCGATCCAATCCAGACCGCGAACACCCCTAACATGACCTATGACTCAGCTTACATCATATCAGATTTGGTCAATTAAAAAAGGCTATACTTTTGACCTATTACATATAATCAGATATGTTGGCTTAGGCTTTTAAAAAAGACTATTTAAAAAACACGCCATAGACTTTCTCACTTGACAAGTCTATAGGCCTAAAAATTGGCCTATATGATATTATTTATTTTAAATAAAATAAATAAAATAATTATTTTTATGCTTTTGAACAATAAATAAAATAATAATATTTTAATTATTTTTTTTAATTATTGAATATTTTATGGACTTAAACAAATAGGTTACCAAGCCAAGACTTTTATTTTTAAATATAGGTTTGGCCAGACTTATATTTTCATCCTACACAAGACTAACAAACCAGTCAGCCCTAAAGTGTTTTTACACAGATCTGACATATTTAATCCAAAGTCTAGCCCAGCTCAACCTGTTTACCCCCACATTAGGCATGACTGAAATTAGGGGTGTCAATATAGGTTTTGACACGCGGGTCGACCCGCGACACGACACGATAATTCGTGTTTGGGTTGACCCGCAAAAAAATTCGTGTCGTGTTCGTGTTGGAAAAAATGACACGTAAAAAATTCGTGTCGTGTTCGTGTTGATGTATTCGTGTTCGTGTCGACCCGTATTTTTTTTAAAATTAGTATATTTTTAATTTATTATTATTATTATTTTAAATTTTTTTAATTTCGATCCATTTTTTTTAAATTTTTTTGTCAATTACTGTTTTGACTTTTATTTTGCGTGTTATTCGTGTCGTGTCGTGTCAACCCGCAAAAAATTCGTGTCGTGTCAGTGTTGAAGATTTTGACACGAATAAAAATTCGTGTCGTGTTAGTGTTGATGTATTCGTGTCGTGTTGAATTTGTGTCGTGTCGAATTCGTGTTGTGTCAACCTATTTTGACACCCCTAACTGAAATCCTCACATTCTACTCTCCAGCTATGTAGCACCGATACTGACACGGGACACGTGACACGACACGACACTCCGACACGTTAATTCTAAAAAATGTTAGATTTCGACACGTTAGAACACGTTTTAATATTAAATAATATTTTTAATTTATGTAGTTTATATTATATTTAATATTCAATAATTTAAAAAAAATGTATGTAAACTTATAATATTTATAAATTTTGCAAAGAAACATAAGATATCCCAAATATTTATATGAAACTCAATAAAATGGTAATCGTAATCTAACGAATCTAATAGTTGGAACTAAAAACTCAACGAAACTTAACCTTTGAACCTTTTTTTGAATTTCTATAACGAGTGTTGAAGTGTCGGGGAGTGTCGGAGTGTCCGAGAGTGTCGAAAAGTGTCGGACACGACACATCAGAGTTTTTGAAGTGTCAGTGCTTCGTAGCTCTCCAGTGTAGGACTTGCCGATCTAAATCATGTTGCCACGAAAGAGTTCTTTGGATTTGAAGTATAAATATTACAAAACCTCATTAATGATTTATATATTTCTTTTTAATAAATAATTACGAATAAGTTGCCGTTTTGAACCTAATTACGAATATATTGCACTCATTCATGCCCAATAATGGTACTATAACATTAAATTCAAAATTCAAAATTCAAATAACCTCCAATAAGTTGATTGCATTTTGTATTTAATAGGAGTTGATTGTGTTTTGTATTTAATAGGAGCTAATTGCGTTGTAATTTTATGAGTTGGTTACAGATTGTCGCCAATTCAAATAAATTTGCTAGTGGTTATTTGAATTTTGAATTTAATGTTATAGGAGTTGATTGCGTTGTATTTAATAGGAACTGATTGCGTTTTGTATTTAATAAGAAATTTGGTGCCATCTTATTTATAGATGAGTTAATCCACTTTAGTGCCATCTTTATAGTATCTTTGTTGTAAATTTGAATTGAGTTTGTGAGAGCCTGAGAGATAAAATATATCAAATGAGATGTCATTGCGTAGATCTCGAAAAGTTATGTGGAATCAAAAAAAGAATTACCTCAATCGGATACCCGAGTCAAAAGTTATGGCCTTATAAAGTTTTACGGTTAAACTATTAATTTTTTATGCCACGTGTCAACATCAGACGAGTCACGCCTAATTTAGGTGTCAATGCCTTGAGAGTCACGCCTAACTTAGGCATGAATAGTCACGCCTAATTTGGGCGTGAATGAGTGCAATAGATCTGTAGATAGTTTCGAAACAGCTATGTATTCGTAATTATTTATTAAAATAGTAATATTTTAATTTTTTTCCCCCAAAACATATGCTTAGAATTAAATAAGTTTATTGAAGTCAATTTACTCCACAATGTGGTGACTTGATCCGATTTTGACAATGAGAATTTATTTTTTCCTTTTTAGTAAATATCTGCAAGCTCTACCCGTAGGATTTAGAAGCCTGGCCTTTGTGGATCTAATCCCAAAAGTTTAGCTTCCTGTGAATCATGTCTACTTTCTCTCAACCTAATAAACCTGATTCATCAAGTTGGTTCTTGGTTGTGTTAGAATGACGTCAAAGTCACTTAGAGTCCACTCTGCTACTTCATCTTTGTCGCTGACAAATATCTCAGTGCCGGTATCAATAGATGTCCATATTCTTTTGGCAGGAGGAGTGCCTGGGTCCTGCACCACAGCACCAAATAAATTAGACTAGGACAAATAAGCTTGTGATGTGAGATTCCAATATTAGAGTAATAATGCAATTATTGACCTGATAGAAGTAGAGTCTACTAGATAGTGCACCAACATCAAGTTCCCAAGTCCTTGCATCCCCAACCCAACCATCACCTTTTTTGGTGGGATAGCCATACTCACCCCATATAGGGTGAGGCAGCAACTGAACTATCTCTTGTGCCTGAGGATTACTGTAAGGATCACAAGTGCTTACAGGTTGCTCCAAGTGTTGTGCATTGCCTGGAGCACAGTAATAGTGATAAGCCGAGTAGGGGAAATTGGCTGTGTCATTTCTATAGATTTTTTTGTTGTCAGGAGTGATATGAAATGGTGGACAGTTTCCCAAACCTGTGGGGCTGCACCAAGCTGGAGCTTCAGGGTTTATGATCATCTCACTATATCTAGTAACATCAGTGAGTACATCACCATCACAAGTAGCACCATTGTTCTTCCAGCAGCTTCCAATGTCTAGAAGGTAGAACTGGCTCTTGGATCCTCCCCCAATCTTGATATCTAAACTCACCCTAACCTTGAAATTTGGTGACTCTGGAAGCTGAATCATGAACTCAAATGGTTAGTTGTGGCTAATCAAACCAGATACATTGAAGGAAACAAAGTGGACTCAACTCTATATGGCTTACTAATTCAAAGACTAAATAAACAGAATTGGAAATTTTGAAATATTGGATTCTGAAGGAAATGTTGAATAAATGAGCGCCTGTACTCACTGTTTTTAGCATTCCCCTTGTGTCGTAATGGTAACCTCCAGAGAATCCTGTGGTTGCATCAGCTCTAAGGTACAACATCAACCAAGGGTATTTCTTTGAAGTCTTTAGCTTATGTTTGAACAGCCAACTCCCAACATTAACTTTCTTCTCCCAAAATACCTGAAAGTAAGAGAGACCATCATGTCCACCCCCACAATCAGAATCCAAATCGTAAGTACCATTGAACCCTCCTTGCATCGTGTCATCTTTCAGCTGTGTCTGTTGATGACACAAGATGGGCTGGTTCATGCACCCTTGTCCAAAACATGGAAACCGTCCTGGACTAAAAGGGGGTGCCTTTTCCCCGTTCTGAGGACATAAACCAGACCTGGTGTCGTAGTTGCCATTTTTCAGCATTATCATCCAAAATTGCCAAGGCCTTGGGGTGTCTTCAACTTCACATAAAGAACCCAAATACTGTTCCTTTTGAACTGCATAAAGGTCTGTGCTATTGATATCTTCTGGTGTCAGACCAGGAAGTGAATCCCCCACCCCAAGTCTGTTATCAGCTTCTGTGACCTTGTGAATCAGAGAACCTGGCCATCACAACCATTTATAACTTTCAACAAAAAGAAAAAGCATTCCTGATTTAAAAAACCAAAACTAAAGGAAATTGAAGAATATGTAGGAGACTCTATAATATATATAAAACAGGTGAAGGACATAAAAAAATATGTGATTATGCGGTAAACCAAGAAAAAGGAAAAGCATGACACTGACACGAAAATATGTAACCAATTGAAGTAAAATAAGATTTTTAAGAGACTATGTTTGTCATGTGATTTGGCTTACCTGAAAGATCAAAACATTCAGCAGCTCTTGGGCTACCCATGTGAGGAGCTTCTTCACCAACTTCATTGCAGAAGTTCCAAGCCTCAAAGGCTACCCTTAGACCATCTCTTTGCATTCCTGGGTCTCCTACAGCTGAGACATGGCTCTGTGCTGTGGACACAAGAGAAGCACTGAACACAAGCACATTCATGAAGACAAACAACGTCTGAAACTGCTTCTCCATTGCCATTCCTGCCTAGCTGAAAGACAGAGGAGCGTAGGGTCGAATCTAATGTCAGTAGCACTTTCCCACGTCTAGGTGGAGAATTTCTTTCACCTTTTAAGTGCCACTAGCCTTTCAAAAATTTATAATTTTTTATGTAAATTCTACTTCCCCTTTCAGTCTTTCACTTTTGCAAAAAAAATTTCCTCCGCCAACCAATTTTAATTATATATTATGCGTAATATATAGGTATATAATAGTAATTTTTTTTTTTCGTCACATCAGCTGACAATATATGAAGAGAGAGAAAAAAAATTTATTATCATAATTATATACTACTCTTAATATACATAGTTGTAATCCATTGTTACAAAAAAAAAAAAAAAAAATTATTTGCAATGGAAAGAAAACACCCATTTTTTATTAATGGAAAATTAGAACCGCAGATGAATCAATATCAAAAGGTGGCAGTTCTCTGTTTTTACCTTCGTTTTTTTGTTCTTCTAATGTTGTATTTTTTACTCAAAATATATTAAATCGAATTATTATGTTTATTTATTGTCTCTTTGTAAATGTTAATAGAGTAAATTAGAATTCGTATATTATGATTTATGTCGTTTTTATTATATTATTATGTGATTTTTTTTATATATCCGTAAACAATGTAATAACTTAATAAGTTGCAAAATTTTCAAGTTCGATTGATATAAATATGTTTTTTTTTTTTTTCAAAAAACAAAAATCACATGTCGGCATAGTCAATTTTGGGGTTCATCATTTTGCACAACTTGAACTTAAAAACTACGCTTACGAAATTCGGCTTCATCATTTATACAACGAATCTTTTGTGTTGCTGAAATGCTGCTATCATTGCTAAATGGTAATGACATTCATTAGCAATGAAGAGTTATTAATGGATTGCGTACAGCCATAATACATGTGATGATGGCCTTGGTGGTTTACAATTACTATCAGTTGGCATTGTCGAATTCTTTTCTTTTCTTTTCGATTGTTACATCCAGTCTCTTATATATCCAAAGTCTAAACAACTAGAAATTTTAACTCTCATCTAAAAAATTACGAATCATATACTAAAACGATGTTGTTTTATCTAAAATGATATAAAATTATATCTTTTAAAAGTATAAATATTTTTTTCCATACTATTATAATTTTAATGTGGGGATACACATTTGGATTCTATTTTGTTATTGGATTGATATACTAATATCCTCGCAACTAAATGATTCCATTGATAACATGGCTCCTGAAGGCGGCCCGTCGCGTTTTCTTCCTTGAGCAAAATGATGCCATTGATCCCTTGACCCCGTTTTCTCACAAAAAAAAAAAAAATTTGTGTCCTTCATTCTATTGTTTTTACTCTCTCGGGATTAATTTTCTCATTTTACCTGAGATAATTTTTTCATGCTACACATTCAATACATAAGTGAGTCCACAAAAAAGTGAAAAAAATAAAAATAAAAATAGGATCCACCTTTTAATTGTGTATGTAACATGAGAATCTTTTCTCATGTGAACTGTGAAAAAAATTAACCCTTACCTTTTATGTAGAATATGATCTGGTAAAATGAAACTATAGAAACGTAAAATCGCTTTTTTTCTTCTTCTTTTTTATGATATTCCCATTTGAAATAAAGGGAAAAACATCTATCCTTTTAAAGGATATAAGTTTATATCCTTTTAGATCTTAATCGTTGATTTCCGTCCATCAACGGTCATAATCTATGGGGCCAAATTTAATGGGCCAAATTTATTATTAATTAATTAATAATTTTAATTCAATAAATTATAACCGTTGATAGACAAAAATTAACGATTAAAATTAAAAAGATATAAGTTCTGTTATTCCTTGAAATAAAATCACACTTTCGTGATCTGGAGCAATTATTACTGCTCTTGTACGAAACTCTGTGTATGTATTGCTTCTGCTTTCATATTCCGTGTAATTATTGCGTCCAAGCTTTCCAGCAATTTTTATACTCTACAAAGTATTCCTTGTGTGCAAATGTACAACTTTTATTGGGAGCTTGTCTAATTTTTTTATTACTTGGGTGCTTATTATTATATTTTTATTAGGGAAAAATAGTTCTCCGGTCATTGGAGATAAGATTATTTTCAGTGAGCTCCAAATGATGTCGTTTTAGATTATAAGATTAAAAAATTATAATAACAAAGACTAATATAACCCTGCAATATATTATAATTACAAAAATACTTTGATTTCCGTCCCAAAACGACGTCGTTTTAAACCCACTCTCCAATGACCGGAGAAATCCTTTACCCTTTTATTATTAGGTATTTTATCGAAAATAAAAAATCCGTTTTGGAGTGAGAGAGATGTTTATTTACTCTCTTTTTTTAAACATTTGTATACAGAGTTGTGGAGTGAAAAAAAAACGTGTATTAATAAAAAACGGTACCAACAATGGACTATGAGTGTTGGCCCATAATAGCTAGTATTGTCCAGCCATCTTAGTTTGTGGGCCTCATTGAGTTTTAAACCCTGGGAATACCACTTATTATTACAAGTGTTCCTTTTCCATTTGTTCTTCTTTTCGGCCTGAAAATGTTATTCTATCTGGACCGCACTTGAGGCCCTTGAATATTGTCACTCTTTTTAACAAACTTTTATTTGTCACCCTTGAATAGTGTGGGAATCTATATTATCATTTTATATATGGTACATCTCATAAGTTTTCGTTATCTTTATGTATGTTTTTCTTCTTTCAGACTTTTAATATATTTTAGTCAATTTATTTATGTTCAATATTATTTAAAATATAAAATTTAACTATTTGTGTCCCTATTTTTGTTATTTTACTAATAGCTTTATGATTTTTAATATTAAGAATCTCTTGAAAAATAATTGCTAATCATTATAACTCAATTTTTTTAACAAAATATTTGTTAAATAAAAAATAATTACACAATGATGATAACCAATAAAAATAGCAGTATATACTTATAACCTTGGTTAAAGTATCACTTATTGGATCTTGATTCCAAGTACATCTTCAATATTATGGGAGCATGTACTCTTTTATTAAAATTAGAAAAAAGTATACTCATGTAATATTAAGTTATTAACTATAAAGGGGTGAATAGAATGTAGGAAATGGACAACACACTAATCGAAAACGGAAAAGAAAAAAAAAAGATAATAGACACAGTGATTTATCTTGGTTCATCCAATTTAGGCTACGTTCAGCTTGTCTGTACTATATTCACCTCACCGTCACTCGTTACAAGTCACTCGATTTACAAGGAAAATATAAATAGGATTAGAAAACCATAACAGCAGCTATTCATGGGCCCAAGCCCAAACTACTAAGAAAATTACAATAGAACAGAGGCCCACAATAGTACATAGCCTCTACAGGCCTGGGGGCGCTGCCCCCCGAACCCCTGCCCGCTCACCTGGGAGTGTAACCCCAGTTGCCTTTCTGCTGACCCTGATAATTAGAGCCCTCCTCAGCATGCGAAGTATGAACCATACCCAACATAGAATACAAATTAGAATGAATTATATTATATTATTTTTTTTGTAATTTTAACAATTGGCATATTAAATTAAGTATTCTGGAGTCTGGACTAGCAAAATATTCGATCTCCTTTCGTATATTCGGAGCAGATGTGCCCCCCAACCTTTTCCCGAAATGACTCCACCAAAAATTAACAATGGTGGAGTTTTGCGCTTCATAACTAGAATTTTTTTTTTTTATATAGATATTTTAATTGATTTATCGCATAACCATTAATTCGATCAGGAACGGGTCCTTACTAGAAGTTACTTGCTTATATTTTATACCCAAAAAAAAATGTTGAAAATTGATAGGAAAAAAATGAGGGCATGAAGAGAAGTAAGCTCACGTAATTGACTTGTGCAAGCAAACGTGATGTGTCACAGGGTTTGGCTGATTTGCAATAAATTTACTCGTTGCTCTCCCAAATTCGTGTTTATGTTTTTCTTTTCTTTATCTTTTTTTTTTTTTTTGGTGAAACCGAATCCGTGATTTTAAGACTATTCACAACTTCGATTTGTTTACATTTCTTTCTTTGATTTTTTTTTTTTTGTTTGGTAAACATTTCTTTCTTTGATTTTAAGACTATTCACAACTTCGAATTGTTTACATTTCTTTCTTTTTCAGTGACCTCTCTTGTCTACTCTACCCATAGCGCTTTGAATGCGAAGTATGTATGGACTTTCAAGTTTCAACCAAACCAAGTGCGCCACGACCGGCGTGGCAGATTTGACATTGCCCCTCTATACGAATTATGATCGTGCAAAACCCTTTTTCTGCAGAAGCTATCACAAGTTGGAGCGAGTGCTTTTTGGTGTTTGAGTAACAGTATGGTCACCACAACTCCCATAATGCTACCTAATTTCACTCCATTCCCTCTTGTTTTAGAGTTTCAATAATAAAAGACTTTTTTTTTTTTTGGGTAAACAATAATAAAAGACTTAAATGAAAGGTCCAAGATATCCCTTTCCTTTTATTTTTCTTTCCTCATTTTATGTGGTCAAAATTTAACAGCTAAACACAATCTCACTTCAACTTTATCAAAGTGAGTATATTTTTATGAGTTTTAATATTTTTTTATTTTTAAATAGAAAACAAAGCACAAAAACTAGCTAGCTTCCAACAAACGAGGTATGTTTTTATTTTCTAAATTATTTTTATGGTTCTTTGAGGAAATCTAAACTAAATTGATCCAATTAATTTTGAAAATTTCGAATCAAAAAATTGAAAACCAAATAAACTAAATATAGAAAATAAATAAATAATAAAAAATGAAAATTGGTTGGACTCAATCAATTTTTTAGTTCGAATATGAAATCAACAGTCCAAACTGAACTAAAATTGTGACATATATTTTCAAAATAATATTTTATATATAACTTTTATATTACATGTACTTGTTTATTAATTTTTTTTATTATACCTTAATTTCCTTTCTTGGCTTTTATAGAATATTGTTAGATTGATAATTAATT